TTGATTCGTTTCGATGGTAAATTGGTAGCTGTGTATGTCCGGGAGTCAAACCGCTGGCCACTTTTTGACAAAATTAACAGCTCCTTGAATTATTTTCAGATCAAGTATAACGGTGGTTCTTGGTGATTTACAGTTCAACTTCTATCATCGATGGTTCGACGTGATGTTTCTCGTCTCAGCCCTCATCAGTATCGCATTCCTATGGCTGGCTCACAAGCAAACACCAATTCCCACAGAATTATAGCATCAGTTAATCAAAAATCAGTCTCCTTTATATACTCCACTTTTTCTGAAAAACGGTGACACTCGAAAGTAGCCCGAATGATGGGGTAGTATGGCACAATGCCAGAAGATACTATCTACTGGCAAGGGGAGGAACCATCGGCAGCCTTCTTTTTTGCGATTATCGTTTATATTTATATAGTAAAGAAATTACTAATGCCAAAAACTCCCCTATATTTATTAGAAATAGAGATACTTAAAAATAGTTCGTCTAGTAACAGTTTACAAGAATTACATGCGCAGACGGATCCGAGGGAGCGGGGGAGGGGAGTGGAGGGGGGGAGGGGAGAAGGGGAAGAGGAGGACGACGAAGGGTCTTTCGCGCAGGCACCAATGCTACAGAAACCCGGGTCTGCTCATAAATAAAACTAAAGTAACTCTAAGTAACAGTGTTACAACTCGATTTCTAGTTTTTGCATAGTTTCAGGGCGGAAGCGGACCTCCTCTCCCTCCTCCCCCTCCCTCTTAGCAAGAGTCCGTCCTGGATCCGCCTGTGATTACATACAGTTTGGAGCTAAAATTTCGGTTTTGCAAAAATTGTTTTGAAAAACATTGTTGGAGGGTATATAGCAGCCAAAATTGAAAAATTTATGCTGATTTTTTTACGGAATAACGGAATTTTGTGCAAATTGTTTTACCGAATAACCCGTAATTTTATATCGATTAATAATCATTCGAATACGAGGGCAGCCATTTGTTGTAAATTTGCCTGACGTTCTTCTTCAGCCCAACGAAGAAATTCCGAAACGCGTTCGCCATTTTCCGATGAGTTTTCCAGTTCAGCACAGTTCTCGTATAGTTCCTAAAAACGCCAGCTTATTTTAAAAAAAATTGTCTGCGAATTCTTGGTCGGGTTAAGATGGGAGGTTGTCAAAATTTTACAAAAATTTGAACTTTAGAAGACTCGGAGGGTCAGGAAAACTAATGTTGCGCTCTCGAATTCTGTAAAAATGTTCAAAAATAATACTAAGCTTTTTAATAATATTAGGTTTTTTTGTCTGCATGTTCTACTTTTCTGAAGCGTACGCCAACTCATGTTTTGTTTAAAAAATAATAAAAAATAAAGAATTTTTCCAGGGAACTTGAACAAAAATTGCCAAAACATGTGTATTCGAGTTTGAACTGGAGTTTAATTGATGTTGCTGCTAAGTGGTTCTTAGAATCCGGGTTAATCCTGGAGGTCAGAGTAAGAGTAGGTAATAAGAAGTGGGATGAGACGTTTCGGTCCATTATGTCATATATGTATTAAAACAAAAGGCAGTACGGGCCTAAAAAGTCCTGTGAAGTAAACAAGAAAGGGCCGGAACAGCGGCCTAATCAGCGAAGGGTATTAGACGGCACGGACCGCACCAATCGTGCATGCAATAGGGAAATGCAGGAGTGGGACGGTAGTCGCCCAAGGTCCGTGGTGATAATATTAACGCAACACGGCGGCCGGACCTCGTCAGTATGACGACCGCAGTACTTATGAAATGAAGTGGAAGAACAGGAGAAAAGGAAAAGGAATAAAGGGCTAGGGGAGAAAAGTAGAAAGGAAATAAAGGAAAAGGGAAGAAAGGGATAGACAGGGAAATGCACCCTTACAATTGCTAAAACACATCGAGATAGCTGGATGGAAAAATTCATGAAAAAAAAAAAAACAAGATCAAAAGATTCGACCTTTAGGCGGGCGTAATTTCGTTGATACGTGTAAATCGCTTTGCATAAATTCCAGAAACCAAATTCTGGCCAAAGTGCCTTATCAAAATATATGCAGCATTTGGAGCACTAAAAAAACTGAGAAATGATGTAAATAAAACGGATTTTTTCTATTTTTCATAAAAAAGCAGATCAGAGATTGAATTACCTGCCATAACAGGAAATCACTTAGCCTTGTTTCTCCACTTGTTCTTATCAGCAAATCCGGATCCCTTGAAAAACGACTATCAAGGCATTGCGATATCAATCTTTCATTAATATCACTTTCCGTTATCAATCCTGAAAATCCTTCTCTGGCGAGTTCTCAAGGCTGCGTCCACATGAATTTACTTGTTTCTTGAGAACGTAACGAGAAACACAGGGGGAGAACATGGGGAGGGGGAGGGGGAGGGGGAGTTATTTAGGTTCTAGAATTTTCAGTGTCTGTCTGTGCTGGGTTCTTCTTTTTAGGCACCCTAAACAACGATTAAAATAGGACAGTTGCCACGTTGTATCCGGCAGATATACATAAAAAGCAAGAAAAACCCGTAAATGCCTCGTAAAGGTAGTTATGGGGCTGGCTTTTTGTCCAAAACCCGTTATGAAGCAGTTTTTTGTGTTTTTTCTTTTATGGGTCGTTATACAAAACCCGTAAAAGGCAGTTTTTTTTTAATAATAGGAATTTTTAAAAAAAAAAGTAGCTGCTTTTTTGAACGACCCATTATGAGAGGATTTATCAAAAGTCACAGTCACCAGCAGGCTGACCACCGGACGATGTAGTACTGGTCAAAACAACTGGAAAAGCTACTAACCCCCAAGACGGGGAGCCAGGGCATACGAAACACAACTGATTCAAATATATTAAATATAACCTTTTTGTACACCACGTGCTATCGTCACAAATGCCCGTCGCATTTCGTCTTGAGCAGTATATGCGATACATACATTCACTGTGACACTGAAACAATGGAGAACTTTATTTGAAGAAACACTGCGATCATCATACTGACGATCATCATACTTATTATTATTATTACCACTATTATTATTGTTATTATTGTTATTGTTGTTATTATCATTATTATTACTATTACCACTATTATTATTGTTATTATTATTATCATTATTATTATTATTATTATTATTATTATTATTATTATTATTATT